ACTTCAAGGATAAGGGCGACAGCAACAGCTCTGCGGGCTGGAAGGTGCGTACCTACCTCGGGCGGGTGGTGGGACTCGCCGGCCACCGGCGCAGCGCCCGGCGCCCCTTCGCTTCATGGAGCGCGCCTACCGGCGTTGGGGACTGGGGCTGGCGGAGAGCCTGGGCTGTGGGGTCTTTGGGGAGCTTTGTGTGACCCCAAAGGAAGGGTACGTGAGGCGTCCGGGGCGGGGGAAGGAGGCTCCCTGGCTCCCTGGGAAGTGTCGGGCATGGTCAGGTTCTGAGAAGGGGCAAGGGACTTTGGAGAGAGAAGGACAGACGGACAAAAGTGCTTATGCTGTATTCCGGACAGCGCGGAGCAGGTAGGTCCGAGGCCAACTTTGGAGTAGAATTCACTATCGTCGGGGGTGCGGCGAGGACGCTGCGGTTGGAGTGCGGGGATGTGGGGTTGTGTTTGGGACTCGGTGCCTGGAGGAGGAGTTGGATTTGAGTTTTCCAGGAGCTTGGTGCGTTGTCACTAGCTGGGTGAAAATCCTAGGGTCCAAGTTTCGGGCTTGTGGGTGTTAACTTCCACAGGCATGAGGCTATCATTAGAAAAACCAGTGGTTGCAAACATTTCCCTGGCGGGCTCTCTGTTAACACCTGTATTGCTCAGAGATGTGTTTTCTGTCAGCCTGCCCGCAGTAGCCTCTGAGATATTCTGGGGTCTGGAAGAGGGCAGCTCTGCCATCTCAACGCGGTGTGGCCGCACCTGCTGCTCCGGCTGAGGCCCGGACTCTGGCCTTGTTTGTGGTGGGGTCCAGGTGTGGAGGCCTGGAGGCCGGGTGCCTCACTTAAGCCTTTGGAAGGGAGGTTTGGTGGCAGGGCTGGGCTGGGCTGTAATGGCTTCTGCCAATAAGTGAACCTGAAGAGAGGCTCTCTACTGTTCCTTTTCAGCCTCTTGGGGGCACTGGACACGTGGTAGGGAGAGAGGTGTGGAAAGGCCTATGATGTAATGACTTCCTGCAGTTGGGCACCGAAAGAGATTAGCTCCTGTGCCCTTGCTGATACCCAGCTGCTTTGCTCCTCCTGGCCCCTTCCCCCAAGATATGAATGTGAAAGTGCCAGGCAGAAGAGACTCCTGCGCATTTGGAGATACTAATTGCTTATCAGTTGCTTCTATTTGCAATTAGTTGCTGCTTTTTTTTTTTTTTTTTAAATTAAAGAGGTAGTTGCTTCCTCCTCCTGTCCCTTCCTTTATTGTCTTTGGGGAGCCCTGTATCTTCCTGGGTTTCAATAGGTGTATAAAATAACATGTAGTGGAAAATTGAAGCGTTGGAGAGGAGGCTGTATATGAAAAACTAAATAATTTGGTGTATTGAGTTTTAATTTGCTTAAAAATAAAATCCTTGTAAAGTTCCTTAAAAAAATTATGGCCAGTATTGGAGTGGCCTTTAGATTTAAACCTTTTTTAGATTAAACAAACTTTAAAAGCAAAATGTGTGCTTTGATATTATTCCACAAATCTGTTTCATTTCCTTTAACAAATGCTGACAGCATGAATGCTACATATGATTTAATTTTATTGCTTTGCAATGGAGTGCCAGTTGTGTGATATGAGGGCTCTTTAGAGAAAGGCCGCGAGTTGTGTTTCACAGCCGTGCTAATGTGATACCTTTTAAAATTGAGTTTCCAAGTGGATAGCAAGGGTTAATCTCAGTGTACAGTATCAGGAAGGGGTGAGTTTACAGGATTTAAGAAGATAGATTTGGGGTTTTGGAGTATTTTTCAAATTTCTCACACTTGGAATTTAGTCCTGCATTTTTTGAATTTGGTGCATAGATACTGTTAATTGCAAGTTAGCTAACTTTCAACTTAGTTAACATAGGGAGGGTTTTCAGCTTTCCTATGGTTTTTACCATTAAGAAGTAATTTCATGCTATTGTGCTTATAGGTAAAATTAACAGTTTGATAACATTGGATTTAAAAAATGCTTATGTGAGAAAGTGGTATTATCAAAAGTAACTGAATTGCTAATTATATTTTTATTATAACTTGCACAATTTGCAGTAGAGATTTTGGGCCTAGTCATAAACTTGGTGGTTTTATGTCCTAAACCATTTTTGGTCTCATAGTTCCGTTTTTCTTTCTCTGCTATCTTATTTCTCTTTAACCAAAATTTTATGAAATATTGTAAATTGAAACTCTCAAGCCTTAATATGTTTAATACAGGGCACACATTTTATGATTATTTTTACTGTAACTGGTTACATCAGTTCCACTTCTGAGTATTATGTGATAACTAATTCTTGAAGACTATAGGGATATCATTTAAAGAGTTTTTATAAGATGACCTTTATCAAAAGATGCAGCCATGCAAGAACTTCCAAATCTTTGATGATGGTGAAGGCCCTTTGAGACTGGGGCTGGTTTCATATTCTGATTATGACTACTAGCCAACCCTATTTGTGCTTGTGGTTTAGTGGGGGCAGAAGACGAGGGAAAAGGAAGAGGTCAGGAGCTGATTGTGACCCATATTCATGGGTCCAAGTTTCAGGAGTTGAATCCTATCATGATTAGTCATTTTGGAAGCATCTGTGTGCATTTAAACCACATTACTTTCACTCTGAGTTATGTATTTGAGTTTTTAACCCCTAAAAATGTCTAGAATTCAGGTTAATGTCTCCTAGACATGTGCGTACATAGGCACAGTATGCAGGGTCCAGGCCTTACTTCTTTTGTGGCTTTTTAGGCCATTGCATTACGAGAGCCTATAACCAGAATTATGACCCTAAGGTCATAGAATGAAAGGGGCCTTGGAGATCAGAATCCAATCAGTGGTTTGAAGCTCTGGTTGCATGTTAGAATCACCTGAGAGCCTTTAAAAACTATCGATACCCAGAGAACCTGATTTAATTGTGCTGGTGGGTGGATTAGTGTTTATTGTTTAGGGAGGGAAGGGAGGTTTGAAATTTCTCAGGTGATTCTAATATACAGCCAGGATGAGGTTTGTTGATCTAGTTCAGTGATGGTGAACCTTTTGAGTTCGGCGTGTCAGCATTTTGAAAAACCCTAACTTAACTCTGGTGCTGTGTCACATATAGAAATTTTTTGATATTTGCAACCATAGTAAAACAAAGACATATTTTTGATATTTATTTTATATATTTAAATGCCATTTAACAAAGAAAAATCGACCAAAAAAATGAGTTCGCATGTCACCTCTGACACGCGTGTCATAGGTTCGCCATCACTGACTAGCTCTCTAATAGGTGAAGAACCTGATTCTTGAAGTTAATGACTTTTCTAAGCTCACACAGCTCGTTAGTTACAGAGGTAATTAGTAGCCACAGTTCTAGAGATCTTTGTTCTTAATCACACGGTTTTCCTCTTTAAATTGATCTTTTTAAAAGGTCATTTACTAAGTAATGTGTACCCTTAACATAAGTACAGGTTGCTTTCTTGAAAAACATATTTGCCTCTCAATCTAGTCTTCGTTATTATTTCAGCATCAGAAAGACAGATTAACGTTGATGGAGGCCGAGAAGTGCATCATGTTTGTAGAGCTGTCCAGTGCCTATCAGTATGCGTCTTTGGGAACTATGAAGTGACAAAAGTGGCAAAAAAAGCGCATTTTAACAAAAAGAGGATGTTCTTGGCTAACTTAGGTTTGTTAGTTACCTGCTGTGCCCAGGAGAAAGGTGATGGCTATCTCACAGGTTCCCTTACCTCAGGCATTAAAGTAGAAGTGAATAATCAGATGTGGTTAAGAGGGGAAAAGGTTACATTTCTTTTAATTCCCATTAAACGTACTTGCACTGCACCCATAATTAAACTGTTGAGAATGGTTCCTCCTGACTTGGGCAGACCTCTAGGACTCCAGCGTTTACCTTGTAAGGCCTGTTTATCACTTGTCTCCTACATGCACGCAAACACCTGCATTGCCCACGGATCAGGGCACTGAGATATTATGCAGCCATGAGTTTCTGTGGCGGCTCCCACAGTTTCACAATTGTAGGCTGCTGCTGCTGCTGCGGAGGGTGACTCCTCAGGAGACGGGGTCTTCCTTCGTAGGATAATGTGCACTCGTAGAGCATCTTCCCCAGGTGAAGAGACGAGGGCTGACCTGCCACACAAATCTTGTTTACGTGCCCACTGTTGCAGCTTTTTTTTAGATTAATGCATTCAGTTCTTTTTCAACATACTGTATTAAGAAAATGTTATTTTAACCTCACTTTTATGTTTAAAAAAAATACATATTTAAAGTTTCAAAATGACAAAGTCATAATAATTCCATATTGTCTCATAATTTTGACCTCAGTCGCCTTTGGAGTAACTCACCAAAGGGCCAGTTATGGTGGTGTGTGAGGAATCTGTCTTCTGCTGGGCCCATGTTGCCAGAATGCTGTTTTGTAATTTCCTTTGGCAGTACCGTCATCGTCAGTGATTCTCAACTAATACACTTCCTCTTCCTACAGCAGCAATACATGAGGGGGACTGTTTTCCTCTTTCTCAAAGCTGTGTCATCGACCTATGAAGTGAAGAAACTGGCCCTTTTGGACTTTGATCTGTGAGCCCTATGTAGCAGAGAGACTCTTTAAAAAAGAAGTGAAGTGTTGGTTTTGATATGTTTATCTCCTTAGAAAATGAAATGAAACTATGCAGACTTATTTTTAGGAGCTTTTAGGAGAGCTCTATTTTAAGAGAATGACACCATACAAGAACATCTTGTAGTTAAACTTTTTAATACTCGTGATTCTTAAAACCTGCAAGATATTTTTATTTGGTAAGTTAATGGAGAGGCCTTGTCCCACTAAAAAGTCATTTACTTGCTCTGGAAAAGTTAAGCAGACTCCATCCATCCAAAGATCTTGATTAAAAAATGCAAAGATAAGACTTTTAGGCCTGTGCGTTCGGGTGAGGTATCCCACTTACCCATTGCTTGTTCCTGAAGCTGGACAGAATATGGGATTTATTTTGTTTTCATACACATTCATCTCACCTGTAGGGAACAGCCTTGATCCTATGCTTGACTCCTCATTTTTCTCCCCACCTTTTCCTGTATCACAAATTGAGGGGTCCTGAAGATTCACTTTGGCTTCTTGCTGCTAAAGAAGTCCTTTGGGATGACACACATACAGGTGCGTGAGCATCAGCAGATATTACAACTGAGGTACAGTAAGTGAGTAAAAGATTGAGAAGAGAAAACTCTTTTTACACATTTGCATCACATGCCATTTCATTCATTCAGCAAATATTTATGAGAGGCATACTGTGTGCAGGGCATTCTGCTGGCCCCAGGGATCTAGTAGTAGCACAAGACAAATAAGGTTTCAGTTCACAGGAGTTCACAGTCTATTGGGGGAAGACAGAAAATAAACATGCAAATATGTGCTCTGTGAACTTGTCCTTATTGTCCATTCTCTTGCCTTTTTTCACATGTGTACTTCTGCTTTCCCTCGTGTTTCAGCTCTGGCTTGACGCTGGCCTTCACTTCTCTGCAGATTATATTCAGCTTGTTTTGGAGATGCAAGGCCACTGCAATGTGGCTGCTGCCGTTTGGGAGAAGTGAGGCTTTCCCAAATTCACCTCGGTTAGAGCATATCTGGGGCCCTGGACTGACCTGGGAGCCCCAACTTCTGTCTTATGGGGCCTGGTGTGGGACGGACCTCCCCCTGGAGAGCGGATGTGGAGCCTTGAGACAGACAAACTTATCTGCAACTGTTCTTGCCTCAAATTCAGAACTAAAGGAGGTCTTAGAGAGCATCTAACTATTTTACAGGTGAGGAAACGGAGTGAAGAGTGTCCTCGTGAGCCCAGAGCGCCACTGTTCAGTAATGTCTGCTGATAACCCTTGTGGTTTCACAGCTGTTGGTGTCAGTGCCTCCATTTCTGCAAAGTCTTCATTTGCTCCTAGGTGCTCCCTTCCCCCTCCTCTAGGCCGGCTCACACAGAGTGGCTGTGTTTCTCTTTTTTTCATTCTCAGCTCACCTTGCTGAAAAGGCCTACTTTATCCACCCCACCCTACCCGGCCCACGCCTGACTCCTGCCTGTTTCCTTCGTCATTTTTCTGTGACTCCTGTATATTCCCAAGTACAATGTAAGAGCCTTGAGAGAGCGCGCAGTGTGTCTACCAAACAAATAAGTGTTTCTGATACTTGGAGCTGCTTTTAGGATCACCATGTCCTCAGCCCATGAGGATAGCCTTTTCTGGGGTTTGACACTGAAAGGGGATGATGTGACTCTGGAGTGAGGTTACGTCACGTGCTAGAGTCTGGATACTTGTCGCTATGAAGGTGGCCCAAGTCTTAGACCTCCTGTGTTGATGTTGATACGATGTAGTGTAATTATGAAATGATGCTCTGCTATCTAAGGCATTTCTCACAGTGTCTTGTTTCCTACTGTAGACGTCCCTGAAAAAACTTGATCAGTGCCAGTCACAACCCATCACAGAAACTGAGGGAAACCTGATCTTGAGATGACCTTTCATTAAGAGAAAGTTGATATCCAGCCTGTCACCTATGTGTGTATCGCACTTTATGCAGCATCAATACGTACTGTCTAGGAAGAGTCACCCCGGAATTGTTCTGCCTCACATGGACGTATCCACTTATAGGAGCCAAGTTGTTGTATAGAGCTAAGTTGTCCCTAATGTTCTGCATTTGGGGGCATCAGTCTCAGACGTGTTGAGGGTTTATGTCCGTGGATTGGAAAATAGATGCCACATATGAAGGAAGAAGAGAAACCACCTTTTCAAGAGGGACCTTTTCAGGAGGCCAGTCTGTAGCTCTTTCGAGGTAGAGTTTTCTGAACAGGTGATTAGGCTAGTGATTGTGATAAAAGATCTCGATTTTGATCACATCACTGCCACAGACAAACTCAGTACCTTAACCATTTTATTCTGACCAAACAACTCTTATTTCTCAGCATCACAATTTCCCTAATTGGGAAAAGAAGTAAAGTAGCAGGCATCCGTATATTTTTTTTAAAAAAATTTAAATTCTTAATTGTTCCATAGTCTATTGTGATGTATTGCTCCATCAGTTTCCCATGGGTTGAGGCGATGGTAAAACATAAACATATGATTGGAATACTCTGGGCTTTTCTAGAGTGTGTGTCTTCTACTCTTCAGTCGGATTTCTTTTTTGAGACTTTTATCTTGAGATGTTTTTCTCTTTGTAGTGTGGCAGTTAACTAATATGCGATAACATTACAAAATGAAATGGACTACTCTGATGGGCTGAGGTCCTTCCAGTACTTGCTACTCGGGTAATCCCTTATGATGAAGATGCCAGGTTAACTTCTGGGCGCTCACCAGGTCTGCATGTCCAGATGCACCCCAATCCTGCAGTGGAGAGGTGAACACAGAGCAAGGCAAGCTCCTGGCAGCCTTATTGGAGGGCAAGGCCAATGTAGGAAGTGACCCCTGCCCCAAGCAAATGAACTGCATTAACTTTCCCCTAGAAAAGTGAATTCATAGAAAAATCCAACAGAGATACCTTTGGGAGTTTTCAGTACATGTTTGTAATTTCTTATTCATTTATTTTAAGACCTTTACATGTGCGTGGGAGAATTCATGTCATATTTTTCCTTGTGTTTAGAGAAATTAAGAACTTGGTTCCTGATGCCATTGATAATTTATTTTAAATTCAGAGCCGGCAGAGGGAGGACACAAGATTTTAAGCTGATCTCAAGTATTTTTCCCCATATAGCTAAAGTGGTACCTTGATTAAAAAGTATCAAGATCTAATATGTCATGCTTCTGTGTAGGCATATGTCGTCAGGATAAAGGATAGCTTGGAAGAGAGAGGGGCCGTCAAAAACCTTAGGTGACTTTTTAAAGGAAACCTTGGTCTTCTAAAACTCAAGTTCATGTCCCATCCCCGATAGTTAAATGAAAGCCCTTTTAACTGAAAAATCTCCTCCCCTGCCTTTAATCTTGTTGCTATTTCCACTTCTGACGATATATGTGAATGTCCATCTATATCTAATACCAAATCTCAGAGAATGTGTCTGGATCAGTGTAATATTCTGTTTTAGTGCTATTTTGGTTGAGACTTTTGATATTTTCCAAAACTTCAGTTTCCCATGGGTTGAGAGAATGGTAAAAACTACATCATTTCTAACTCAGATTTCGTAGTCCTGGATCCACTGGAGATCATAACTTGTGAATTTTTTTTACATTTCTGTGATGCCATAATTTGTCATTTTCCTCCACTTTGCCCAAATTTTGGTTTTGGTGATTTATTTTAATTTGGGAGTTATAGTGGATTGAAAAGTATCCCTTCCAAAATTCGTGTCTACCTGGAACCTTAGAATGAGACCTCATTTGGAAATAGGCTCTTTCCAGAGGTAATTGGTTAAATTACGATGAGGTCATACTGGACGCGGGTGGGCCCTAACTTCGGTGACTGGTTTCCTTGAGAGAAGAGGGGAGGACAGAGATGTGGAGAAGGCGGAGTGAAGGCTGAGGCGAAGACTGGAGTGATGCAGTTCCCAGCCCGGGAGCACCGGGAGGAGCCAGGCGGGATCCTGGGCCTGCAGAGGGGCATGGCCCTGCCAGCACCTTCCGTTTGGACTTAGAGCTTCCAGCGCCGAGAGAATGAATTTTTGTTTCTGCAGCCCCTACATTTACAGTAACTTGCTGTGCTAACATTAGGACACACAAGCACAGGGATGGAAGAGAGGGGCAGGCAGGGTTGCAGGTAGAGAATAAAGTTTTAATTAGATTAGAATTAAAATGTTAATCATTCATAAGCAACTTGCTGGTAACTTAAATTTCATTCTTTTTCCTGCTGTGAGGGGAAGCAGGGAGGCATGAGTTCTCCTTGATTTCCCAATTAGAACTATCAGAACGTTTCCCTCCTCTCATGTCGGCCGTGGCTTGTCCTAGGCTCCCTCTCCACTTACTGACTTTCTTCTTGGCCTGGTTTGGGAAGCTGGTGATGAGGCTTCACACCCCAGGCCTCACAGTCCTGGTGGAGTGTGGGCTGTGAGATTTACAGCACGGCCATGTGGCCTGGATGACAGCTTTGGTCTAGAACAGCCGGCCTTCCAGGTTCCTCATCGGAAGGAGGTGTTGAAGCAGGATCCTCTCCTCCCTGTTCCTGTCAGGGCTTGAGAAGACGGAGCCCTGTCAGGTTCATTATCTCTGATGGTGGTGAGACTAATCCAGAATCTCTCTCGAGTCCCCTCAGCTCCTAATTAACACCCATCACTGCACAGTTAACCCATTTTGTGTGTGTGTGATGAGCACTTTTAAGATTTACTCTTGTAATACATTCAAATATGTGGTATTAACTATAATATGTAATGTGTATTATTAACTACAGTCATGGTGTATATTTTATCCCCATGCCTTGTTTATTTTATAACTGGAAGGTTATACCTTTTGGAAATAGCTGCTACTTTTTTAAAATATATTTTATTGATTTTTTACAGAGTGGCAGGGAGAGGGATAGAGAGCTAGAAACATCGATGAGAGAGAAAAACATTGATCAGCTGCCTCTTGCACAACTCCCACGGGGCATGTGCCCGCAACCCAGGTACATGCCCTTGACCGGAATCGAACCTGGGACCCTTCAGTTAGGCTGATGCTCTATCCACTGAGCCAAACTGGTCAGGGCAATAGCTGCTATTTTAAAAGTTGCTACTATGTGCCACGTTCTTTACATATATTACCACTAACCCTCCAGTTAATCCTTGGGAGCACTGTCTTGCATGCTTGTCTTCCACGTGTGGCTGACTCAGGTAACTAACACCCCTCTGTGGGTTGCTGGAGAGTGGACTTGGACCTGTGACTCAGGCTCCTTCCCTTGATTTTTGCATGAACTAGTAACTTCATGGAGCCAGTGGTGGGCTTTTAGTGGGGAACTGGAGGAGTGGCTTTAGAGTTCTTTCAGACACCTGTTGGTTTGGGGATTCATTTCTGTTTGGTCACTGACTTGTGTGACTGTGGTTTACTATGGGTCAGATACAAAGTGTACTACAGTGGGGCCTTGACTTACGAGTGTCCCGACTAAAGAGTTTTTTGAGATACAAGCCGTCTCTCGGCCACTTTTTTGCTTTGAGTTGCGAGCTAAAATTCGGGTTACGAGCCAGCTTCAGATACCCCACTGCTAGTTGGCGCAGCGAACGTCACAGTGAACGCCACAACATAAGCACAGCATCACGTGTCTCACTCATTCATTTTTAAAACAAATATATTTTATTGATTTTTTTACAGAGAGGAAGGGAGAGAGAGATAGAGAGTTAGAAACATCAATCAGCTGCCTCCTGCACATCTCCTACTGGGGATGTGCCCGCAACCCAGGTACATGCCCTTGACCGGAATTGAACCTGGGACCTTTCAGTCCACAGGCCGACGCTCTATCCCCTGAGCCAAACCGGTTTCGGCTCATTCACTTTTTGATTTGACATACGAGTAATTTGAGTTACGAGCTCTGTCATGGAACGAATTAAACTCGTAAGTCAAGGCCCCACTGTATTCAGAACTGTCAGTGAGACATGGTGTGAAGAAATCCTTTGGGTTGGGCTATTATCTCTGAGAAATTCTCCCTTGGGAGAACAGGGGGTCTCTGCTTCCATAGGCTTTAGGTAGGTGGGTGAATGGAGACACCACCACCAAGAAAAGCAGATTTCTAGGGGTGGGGGGTGGGGGAGGATATTTGCAAGAAATTCCTGGCAGAAGTTTGGCTGCGGAATCAGATCTCATAATTAAAGGTATTAAAAATATTTTGTGAGTGGTTGACTCTTTGCAATGCAGTTACTAGGGTTTAAGGCAGGCTGCCAAGACAGAAACAGAAAATGTTGCATAATGTAAGTTGCTGGCCAGGTTAAAGTGTTTATTTCTGTTGAAGAGCTTACTGCTTTTGTCTTCAAGGTAAAAATATTTATGAGTAGGACCTAAAATGCTGGTTTTAATTGGCTGCTGGAGTTGCAGAACCCATGTGCCCGAAGATAAAATGTGGCTAGCAGAGTACTAATCACATGTGTGTGTTGGAAAAAAATTCAGAACTCTCAGTTTCATAGTAAAGATAGGTGAGTAGTGTCTGGATTGTGTCCAGAAGATAGACTGAAACCCTATGATAAATGCAGAGCAGGCAGAATGGTTCTTCCTGATAACTGAATAGAGCCATGGTGTGGGGGAGGGGAGGGGCTGGAGGCAGTTGCAGAAGGTGGCCATGGCCACAGTAGACTTTTAAAGGTACAAATCTGGCTGTAAACCTGAAGTTTAAGGAGAGCATAAAATTATATCCAATAGAATTGCTTGTGAGATGTCTTCTTGAAAATTGGTAATACATTAGAAAGATCAAGTGGATAGTTAAGTCATTAACTCACATAATTCAAGTCTCAAAACTGATTCCCCCCCGAATTGTCCTAATAACTGATTTCGAAAATGACATTTCTTTCATCATAAACGATCTAGAGAACTGCCTAGGTTCCCCATATTTGATACATAATCTTTGGCTGAGTGATGTTCAAAACCTCTTGCTCACATTCCTCTAATCTTTTTAAATGTTTTTATTTTACTTAATATTTGAAAAAAAATCACTATGATAACTGTAATAGTTTTATAAAGTAAAATGCTTTCCATGGATCTCTTCATCAGAACTTTTCATGTTGGTAAATTCCTAAAAAAAATGCACCCAATTTAAAACTCAGTGCTGCTGCAGCTCTTCCAGGGTTTTTACCTCACACCAGAGCTGTCATGGGGCTGCCTACCAGCGTTCCTTTCCCAGCGAAGGACTTGTTAATCTAACCCTCGTACTTTTGTATCTCAGTCTGTATTGGGTACCTGCCCCTCTGCCCCCCGCCCCTGTCCCCCCGCCCCAGTTGGTAGAATGAGAAGGCATACTTTTATTAACTGGTTATTTTGTAGTACAGTTCCCTTAACAGATTAATTTGCCATGTATGAATGTACCCTATCATTCAAATAAATAGTGGTCCATGGACTCAATTTTTTAAAAAATATGTTTTATTGATTTTTTTACAGAAAGGAAGGGTGAGGGACAGAGAGTTAGAAACATCGATGAGAGAGAAACATCGATCAGCTGCCTCCTGCACACTCCCCACTGAGGATGTGCCTGCAGCCAAGGTACATGCCCCTGGCCGGAATCGAACCCGGGACCCTTGAGTCCGCAGGTCAACGCTCTATCCACTGAGCCAAACCAGTTAGGGCATGGACTCAATTTTAAGCAAGGTAATTTCCTTTAGGTAAAAATTGAAACTCTGAGCCTAAGCATTCTTCTGATTTTTGTAACAGAATAATGACCGGGTAGGTCAGGTGTATCATTTGTGTAACCCCGAGAGGCCTGGAATGGGCTATGAGAATGTTGTAGGCCTGATTATTTTAAAGTTGTCTTTGAGCTGATACCAGCAGGAGTGTGCTTGCTTTGGCACATGTGGGCTCTTAGGCTCCTGAGAGATAACTTCCTAGGTGAGCTGGTATACTTTTCTTGAAATGAGTGGCCTAGATCAGGCCTTCTGTCTCCAACCCTGTCCAATAAAGATAAGCTTACAGCCTTCTGCTTGAATAAATGCATGTCCTCTGCTGAACTGAATTATCTAAATCAGTCCTATTTTATGTCCTCCCTTTCCATAAAGATCCTTATTTCAGGCTGAAAGTCTAGGTCACTTGGGCCATATTTAGGCGTTAACATTTTCCTCCTTCATGTCAGTTGCTACGGAGAATTTTGGCACTTGATCATGGGCATCATTTAGTAGGTGTGTTCTTTGGGAGAAGGGGAGAGGTTTATTCCTCTAGTCTTATAAAATCAGGGAATGCTTTGAGTCAATTTGTGGGCAGTTTAGTACTGAGTAAGTGCAGTACCATGTGTTAAGTTAGGAAAGCTAACTTGTGCTAGTGAAAACTTTTCTAAATCGGTTTTAAAGTGATTAACAAATGAATGCTTGTATTAAAAATTCTCATTTTTAGGATGCAGATTTATCTACAGTATAGTTTTCTAGTCAAATAAAAAACTTTGAATTGATGAATCAGTTTTCTCTATTAACAAAGTGGAAATACATCTGGATTTTTCTCTCTGGCCTCCCAGTGTTGATCTTGTTTATGTGAGCAGAAATAATTTCACCTGTCTGTCTGTGTTACCTGCCCTGAGATTCCGTGATCTGTTTTGTGTTCATCATTCTGACCTAAACAGGATCATAAAGCTTTCAAACATTTTTCCCAGCTTGTTACTTCATGCATCTGTGCTACTCAAGAAGGAAGAGGAGAAAATAACTCTCTCTTGATTTTATCATCTGCATCACATGATCTGTACAACTTTGAAAACTCATTTGTCAGTGTGGTTACTGGGAGGATAGTTTACCACATGCTCTGAGAGTTACTTTTTCAGTCTCTTCCCTTGCCTTCCGTTTAAAGAAAAACATTTAATTTTGCTCAGGGGTAAATTTTATCGTTTTTTTTCTGGTACATGATTTCAAAGTTGATGATTTGTTTGTGAGAAGTTACAGGTCTTTGCCTTGTGTTCCTAGTTATTAACTCTCCTGAAAAAAACAGCACAGAATAGCACATCTTGTTAAAAGGGTTTCCTGGTAGGTCTGTGGACTGGTACCAGGTCTTTGGGGAATGAGGGCTGCCTTGACCACCTAGCCATTTCAGGTCTTTGAACCCAAGACAGCTGACGTTGGGTTGATCCTTAGATCCATCTCAGACTCAACGTCTCCGTGTTGCTTGTCCTAGTTGTTCCCAGTTGCTCGCTCATTCTTGTCTCTCTCCTTTTATGTTTCCTGGACATTTTCTAAAGGAGGCTTCTTCTCTCTTTCCCATCCACCTATTTTCTCTCTGTGACTTTTTCCTGCATCATGGTTTTCAACCTTACTGCATTTGAGAATTACCCAAGGAGCTTTAAAAATCCCCTTGTGTCTGAGTCCCATCCTAGGCCAGTCAGGTCAGAATCTCCAGGTATAGGGCGTGGGCATCTATATTTTTAAAGCTCCCATCTGATTTCAACGGATAGTTAGGATTGAGAACCATTGTCTTAGAAAAATGAGAGATCTTGGCTGTGAAAGTTATCCACTATTTTTGTATTGACTTTTAGATCTATTTTCACCTCTCGTCCATGGGAAGATTACAAGGTGGAATTTGCTCCCTGGAAGCACCGTATTAAAAGGAGCACCGTCAATTTGGGATCTAAGAGAACAATTGGCCTCCAGGACAAGGGTATCATTGCTTAACAAGCTGTGTTTATCTAGGATCTCCTCCTGTACTTCCTTTCCTATAAATGAATGTGGCTTTTTTAAAGTTTCCAACTCCCACTTGTTTTTCTAGTCTCTAGTGGACCCCAGTTAACTTATTTTGAAGTTTTCAGGAATTTGTTAGAAGAGATGGTGCTATTTCAAGTCATTGCATAAGACTTGAAAACTGAGACACACAAACTTAGTGTTCTTCTCGGTGCAACCTGCTCTGGTATCCCAGAGGGTCTACTGTAGCCTGGTGCCTCCGTTAGTGGTCCTGTAAGAGTGACCTCCAGATCAGCATCACCTAGGAACATCCAGGAATCTGTTAGGACTGCAGATTCTTGGGCCCACCCCAGGCACACTGAATCAGGAACTCTGGACCTAACCATCTGTATTGTAACAAGGCCTCCAGGTACTTCTGCAAGTTGAAGTTTGAGAACCACTGCTTGTAAGTCCTTTGCTAAGTCTGGAATTTCTCTGAATTCCTAGGAGTCAAAAATCAAAATTCTCATGCCATCTTGGCTTCAGAATCCAGACAAGAGTGGGGAAAGATGAACAGCCAGGCTGTGGTGGTGTCTGTTGAAATGTAGCAGA